GTGCTCTTTTATCTGGGGCCAATATCAGATTTCGATGTGGTAGCAAATGGTCTTTGGTAGGTGTGCATGAATGATTTTCGTGGATGTAAGAGAAATGTTTTGATCTACCTGCAAGTAGATCAAGAGTTTGGGACTTTTTTTTTCTCGCAGTTATTCGTGTTTATCGAGGTTGAATTTGAAGGAATTATTCCATTGTAATTGTGGTGGTTGTAGATCCTTTTTATGAATTTGTTTACTGTTGGTTGGTCGCATAGTTTCAACGGAGGTAGAATTTGATTCTTCACTCTTCATGTTTTAATGGAATTCAAGAACCTTTTTGCTCGGATTATTGTAAATCATATAGAGATTTTGGAGGAAATCTTGATTTTGAACTGGAGGAAAGGGAAATAGAGTAGGTAGTTGTACTAGGTTGTTTGATTTAGTACAAAATGGAGGAAGAGGCTAATTCTTGGATAAGAAGAACAAGATTCTCTCATACTGTTTGTCATAGGTTAGATGCTTCAAGATTGGCCTCTCTTCCTTTAACCATCCAGCCAGATAGAATTCTGGGTGCCAAATCAAGGCCCACAACAACTAACCTGAATACAGAACCAGAGCCTATCGTGCCACAGATTCAGCGAAACCCAACCACAAACAAGAACCGGGCTGTATCCCCAGTCCCTGAAACAAAGCTTTCTGATGCCTTCAAAGAGGCCTGGTCTAGTCAGAAGAGGTCCTTAACACCACTTCCCAAAAGAAAAGGACTAGAGAGAGGAATTGTTGGCAAATTGTTCCATAAAGATTCTAATGATGTCAAGGCATCTAATTTGGAATCACCCGATTCAAAGTCTCTGGCAAATGTTAGTCCTCTTAGGCACTTTGCGTCGATGAAATTTCATGAGAAAACTAAGAGTCTTAAGGAGTCGGCGTGGACAAAGTATTTTGACCATGGTGGGGGAAGGGTCACCGCTGTTGAAACTGTGGACGAGTTTACGGTTGATCTTTCTAAGTTATTTCTTGGGCTAAGATTTGCTCATGGAGCACACAGTCAGCTTTACCATGGGATATACAAGGAACAACCTGTTGCAGTGAAAATGATCAGAGTGCCAGATGATGACGAAAATGGAGACCTGGGTGGACGATTAGAGAAGCAATTCACTAGGGAGGCTACCCTTTTGTCTCGTCTCCACCATGAAAATGTAATAAAGGTATTTATTTCTGTTCGTGTGTCTGTTATCCATGACTAACTAGTTGGCCTGTCCTTTCTTTGAAATATTTAAATAAAATTGCTAAGAGAATTATGCTTTGCTTCATCATGTATAAATTCTTTCCATTAAAATTCATGGCTTGATGGGAGTTTTGCATGATAGGCAGAAATAATTCTATGTTAATAATTATAAAGTTTGAGAATTATTGGCTTGCCAGAGTCCTTTGTGATTTCATTTGCAATGATCTCAAAATGCAGTTCATGGCAGCCTGCAGAAAGCCACCAGTGTTTTGCATTATTACAGAATATTTATCTAAAGGTTCTTTGAGATCATACTTGCACAAGCTTGAGCATAAACCTGTTCCGTTGCAAAAGTTAATCACGTTGGCATTGGACATTGCTAGAGGAATGGAATATATTCACTCACAGGGTGTTATTCATAGAGACCTCAAACCTGAAAATATACTCATCAATGAAGATTTCTGCCTGAAAGTTGCGGATTTTGGTATAGCTTGTGAGGAAGCATATTGTGATCTTCTGGCAGATGATCCAGGCACTTATCGTTGGATGGCTCCAGAGATGATCAGAAAGAAGCATTATGGTCGGAAGGTAGATGTTTATGGCTTTGGACTCATTTTATGGGAATTTGTGGCTGGAACTATTCCATACGAAGATATGACACCCATACAAGCTGCTTTTGCTGTAGTGAACAAGGTAAGATTTTTGTTGTTTCATTTGTCTATTTGTTATATCTAAATACTATTGTCGTGGAATGCCCTTTTTGTTGGAAACGTTCGTACTTTAAATTAGTGCAGTTTTGTTATGGTTTAAAACTCCAGTTTTCTTGGTGATGTTTTAAAGATGGGCTTTTTTCTTTTGAGTACTTTTGTCAATTATTTGGCCTTACTAGTTCATTTCAGCAGTTGTTAGCTACTGTTTTTTGTTATTTTTGTTCATAATTTAGATGGTATGATTAAGTTTATGCCTTTTTCCTAGGAACTGAAATATCTAAACAATACAAGGATTACATAATTTACTCGTGATTGTGCCTAGTGATGCCAGGATTTTTAAATTGCCAAGTAGAGAGACGAGTGATTCACAGCAAGAGTCATGTTTGCTACACCTTCAGCTAAAATTTATTAAAATAAGAGTACTTGGGTGCTGCTTATGGATTTGGTTAATGTGGTGGATATCATGGAAGCCATGGGGTTGAATTATTTGTTGGATATTATATTGTGATACATGAGCAATTTCTAATTTCCTCCATTTGTTACAAAATTCAAAATATGTATTTTAGTGCTATTTAATTTTTAAACCAAACTTTGTTTGGGTTCTTTCAGAATTTGAGACCTGCTATCCCTGATTATTGTCCCCTTGCCATGAGAGCGTTGATTGACCAATGTTGGTCTGTGCAACCGGACAAGAGGCCTGAGTTTTGGCAGATTGTGAAGGTATTAGAGCAGTTCGAGTCTTCTCTTGGTCATGATGGAACCCTGAATCTAATACAAAATCCAACATGTCAAGATCATAGGAAGGGACTGCATCATTGGATTCAAAAACTTGGTCCCTTGCATCATAATACGTCATCCATTCCTAAACCTAAATTTTCTTGATTTTCTGGACTATCTCTGTTATAATTTCACAACATCCGGTGTAACTATTTATGATATTTCTCTGTTCCAGTCTATGTGAATGCTCA